TTACCACTGGTCACTTCGGTTTTGTGGCTTTTCAGTCGGTTCCATAGTCTATAGAGGTGTTTCATGGTCCACTAGCCAGTTCAAATGCCTTTTCAAAACTAGTTAAGTCTATATTACTCTTGATTTAGCCCTTCCTCCTACAGATCTATGTTGATTTAAGCTCCTAGCCTGGTTCTCTCTACTTTTCACCTCGGCCCTTCTTATCTTTGATTGATTTTGCACTATTCAAGTAACGGTTTTGCATTATTTTCTCTATTTTTCTTTGGTTTGTCTCATAATCTATGGTATTTCTATGGAGCCCAAGACTGATACACCATATCTTGTCCCGATCTTACCACCCACACTTTCCCCTACTGTCCTTATAATAATTGCATGACTTCTGTCAAGCTTAATGAGACTAATTATGTTTCATGGTCCCGATCTGTTCAAGTCTTTCTTAAAGGTAAAGGTCTTAAAAAGTATTTAGTGGGATAAAAACACAAGGAAAGTGACCCTGAACTTGATCATGGGGGAACAAGAGAATGTACAGATTATTTCTTTACTATTGAATAACACTGAGTCAAGGATCAGCTCTACCTTGCTTTATCTTGATACTGCCAAGGAAATATAGGATCAGTTGGCAATCATGCATTTTAGCACTAGTAATTTTACTAGTGCTTACAAGGTATGCAAACAATATTTTCGTCTTAAGCAGGGTACTCTGAGTTTGAAAGACTATTATTCCCACGTTAGGGGAGGTTGTTAGGAATTACGAATTTACCACCTGTTTACCACTGACGCTACACTTATGCAGCAACGGCATGAGGATTTGAATGTTGTTCATTTTTTTGTTGGTTGAAGCCCGAGTATGAACCTATTCGTGCCCAGATCTTGAGTGGTCCTAGTCTTCCATCTCTTCCATAGGTATGTTCCTGCTTACAACATGCTACTTTATCCGTTGACCAGTCTACTTCAAGCATTGATCATGGTTCTTCTGTTGACCGATCCGCCTTAGTTGTCTTTAATAGCCGTAGTGGTAGTACTCTTGGTCGTGGTCGTGACTCCTAATAGGGCGTAATGGAGGTTGTGGAGGCCGTACTAGTGCTCTTTTATGTACTCATTGTGGTTGTACTAACCATACACTTAATTATTGTTGGGATTTACATGGCAAGCCATCTAGTGTTTCCAATCAGGTCTCCTACCAAGAAGATACTTCCACCTTCCCCGCACTATCTTTCCGTTCGACCCCTCCCAACTCTGAGTAGGTAGAGAGGAGTATACTCAATTCATGTCCCAGCAACCATCTTCCTCCACAGCTGCTTTTGATTAGTCAGGTACCATTTTCACTTGTTTACTATCCTCAATCCGCAGTCATTGGATCATAAACTCTAGCGCTTCTGATCACATGATTAGTTCGTCTAAAGTTTTTTCTACTTATCATCCTATTACTCCCCCCGAAAAATAGTGTCACTCTTGCTAATGATACATCCTCTCAGGTATCATGTTTAGAGATTACTCAATTAAGTCCCAATCTGTCATTATCCTCTATTATATTTGTCCCTCAATTTCCCTTTAGTTTACTTTCTAGTAGCAGGATTACCTGCTCACCTAATTGTTCAGTAACCTTTTATCCTTCTTTCTGTGTGTTTCAGGGTCTTCAAACATAGGAAGATTGGTAAATGGCATGAAGCTAATGGTCTCTATTATTTTGATCTTATCCCTCTCCTCAAGCATTTCATATCTCATCATCTTCTAATGACATTGTCGTCTTGGTCATCCATCTCTCCACAACCTAAAGCGTCAAATTACTAGTCTTAGTTATTTGTCATTTATATCTTGTGAAACTTGTCAACTTAGTAAGCATCACCGTGTGTCTAGTCTATTTGAGTTAGTCCATAACTCCATTCCGATGTACAGGATCCAATAAAGAATATTTCATTCAATAAATTTTTTTATTTTATGTCTTTTGTAAATGATTATTCTTGTGTGACTAGTTATTTCTTATGAAAGTTCGTTCTGAATTGTTTTCTATATTTGAGACATTTCGTAAGGAAATCAAAACTCAGTATGGTTGTCATATTTGTATTTTTCTTTTTGACAATACTCGTGCATATGACTTTGACGCCTTTTCTACTTATCTTTGCAAAGCTGGCACTATTCATCAAACTTCATGGGTCCATACACCCCTACAAAATGATGTGGTTGATCGTAAAAATCGACATTTGTTGGAAGTGACTCCTACACTTTTATTTCATATGCATATTCCTCGATATTTTTAGAATAATGTTGTTTTGACTACTTGTCATCTCATTAATCGTATGTCATGGTCCGTGTTAAAATGGGCATACTCCACATTCCGTCATTTGTTTCCATTCTCCCTTAATTCCCTTACCTCCTAAGGTATTTGGGTGTGTTTGTTATGTATACAACTTGGATCCCAAATTTGATAAACTTGTCTCTCGTGCTACAAAATGTGTCTTTTTTGGTTATTCTCACACACAAAACGGGTATCGTTGTTATAGTCTCACACTTCAAATATATTTCGTTAGTACTTATATCACTTTTACCAAATTAGACCTATTTTTCCAAGCTTCTACTCATCTCATGGACCTTGACTTTGAGTAGTTACCGCCACCCCCCTATCCATTACTGTCTGTCACCCCACTGCCCACTGTACCACCACCCACTTTACCATCTCCATCCCTTTTGTCCCACTCCATATATACTCTCGTCGTCTGCGTTCATCGCATGAGGTGTCCCTATCATCTTCCTTAGTGTCTTCTGATATTGGTTCCCCGATCACTTCTGACTCCTTACCCATTGCCCTCCGTAATGCTACTAAGTCTTGTGATACTAACCATTCCATTACTAATTTTGTTTCTTATAATGTCTTGTCTCCTACTTTCTCTTGTTTTATATCTAAGTTGTCTACTGTCTCTATTCCTAAGACCCTTACGAGGCGAGTTCTCTGATACGGGTTGGAGGAAAGCTATGGAAGTAGAGATGGATACCTTACATCATAATGAACTTGGAATCTTGTTCCCTTACCTCATCGTAAAAAGACAACATTATTTGAAAATCTTGGTCGGTATCACAAATTAGTTGGGAAGCTAAATTATCTCACTATTACCCTACCAAATATTACACATGCAGTTATTGTGAGTAAGTTTATGGTATACCCTAGAATACCACATTGGGATACAGTTATTCATATTCTTCGATACCTTAAACATGCTCCTAGACTTGGGTTGTTATATCGAGTTAATGGACACGTTAGAGTAGAAGGTTTTACTTATGTTGATTGGGCTGGCTCTCCCTTGGATTGAAGATCAACTACTGTATATTGTACCTTCTTGAGAGGTAACGTGGTTATATGAAAAAAATAAGAAACAAACAGTGGTAGCACGGTCAACTGCTGATGCTGAGTATAGGGCAATGACACTACCACTAGTGAGTTGACATGGTTACGACACTTTCTTTAGGAGATTGGATTTCCAATTCAATGTCCCTTATAGTTGTTTTGTGACAATCAGGCAGCCATTCAAATTGTTGCTAGTCCCGTATTCCATGAGGGAACCAAATATATAGAAGTTGATTGTCACTTTATTAGAGACAAGATCCTAAATGGAGAGATTGAAACATCATTTGTAAAATTTGAGGATCAGTTTGCAAATATGTTCACCAAAGCATTAAACCGAACTTGTCTTGTAGTAATTTATTTCAAGCTTGGATTATATAGTATCTATACTCTAGCTTGAGAAGGTGTGTTGAGAATATTATTATTATATTGTATTCTATTGTATTGGATTGTAATAAGTATACCTCTCTAAGGGTTTACTAATCCTTTATGTTTTTCTAGGTAACTAAAAGATAAGTTGAGAGTGGGAGGTAGGTCATAAGTTACTACTCTTTGTCCCTCTCTTTTTGGTTTTCTCTCTATTCTCTAAATCTAACAATAGTAAAAATGGTACTAGAGGTTTGTCTCAAAGGTCTTGGATCAAAAACTCTCCATACGCATTTGTTCGCAAAGTCTATAAGTATATTTGTCTTATGTCTCTCAACATGCATTGTACAGCCAAATCCCTAACAAATTGAGCTTCTAGAACAATTTATGGTCCAACACAATAGTTCTACTCGTATCAATTTGATTTTTATGTCTTGGTTTGCCTAGGATGCGCTCCTTTTGTGCTTTAATTCTTTGGCTTCAAATAACGTAATAGTTCTTATTTTTTTTCTGTAAAAGATAAAAAACCTCAAATATAACAAAAAGCCAAGGAAAAAGAGAAAATCATGACTACATCGAACAAAACTTAGGGAAAAAAATAAAGAAGTAAGAAAACCTCATAAATTGACATAGGAAGAATCCATACAGAATCTGTACACACAAAACAGAAGGACATAATGCATGGTTGCACAGACACTACCCTAACATGAAGCCATATTCCATAAGAATTGCTGTGATGTACTGGAAGATGTTAACTACTAAATCCAGCTCACCTCTAAGCATGCACCAACTGTTTTGATAACCATTACTTCCATATCACCCAAAGCATGCAACACTTGTCCACAAACTACCATCATTTTACCATACCACAATAGGAAAAAAAACACAGGAAGAATTGTATACTACATCAAAACAAAATACCGGCCAAAACTGAAAAGACAACTAGAATCAAACAATTATCTTTACAACAATAGTTCCACCAATCCTCATAATACAAGGTCGAAAAAGAATTTCAGAACAAACTTCACACGTTGGCTAATCACACAGCTAATCTTTAAGTTCATGCACCACATGTTTCGCTGCTCTGATAAAATTAGTACTTTGTTCCAATGGATATATCACTGTCACAGACCCTTTTTATCATGAACCAGATATGGTTCAATAACAAGCTTGAAGAAATCAACTTAAGCAAAAGATAGCTATATTAGGGTAATTTCAAGAAATCAGACTTTAAAAAATGTATTGCTTACACCAATCATGCTAAGTATCCTTACTCCCGCTTTCCACATCAATCTCTTTACTGCCACAATGCCATTGAAATAGCTTTTCCTACAGAACTTTTTTGTATGAATTTGATGCTAAAACCAAATGATATAGCCATTGCCAAAAAAACTTGTTGATCATTATCAGGGGATGAAGCCCAAGTCACACTCTCTTCAGGTGAATCCACAGTACCCAACTTAAGTAAATGATACCTAGATTTGACACTCACTCCTGACCAAGTCTCTTTTCATGTCTAATCTCGTCAACCTATAATGAACAGTACTAAACATTTCTGGTGCAGGGAGATCCCATCCACCTAAATGTAAAATCTCATTCTCTTTCAGTAATCTTGATTCTTCCATAACATAGAAATTATTAATTCAATGTATCATCTTAACCAAAAGAAATTAACAAAGACAAGAAACAGCTTTAGAGATAAATCAGAAATCACTGGTGAAATGATTAGTTGTGGATGCTCTCTAAACTTTCTGAAGGCATTTTTTTTTTTCGTCATTAAACTTTTTGAAGGCATTGATAGTAAAATTTACAATGGATAACAAATTTACAAAAACAGATTTGCATAGAGGCATCTCTTTATTTCAGTTTTCACAACATCCAAACACCACAACTTTTAATTTATGCATGTATAAAAATCTGGCTAAATTGTCAAATAGAAATTATATGATATGCAAGAGATGTGAAGAATCAATTTTCGCAACAAAAAGGAAAAAAGAGATGAAAAATTTGTCATGCATACATCAAAGAAGCCTGCGAGAATAGAGAGGAAAAAAGATAAAATCACTCTGGTGGATAAAAAAAAAAATTGAACACAAATATACACAAGCCAAAACAAAACAACAATGCCGATAGGTTAACATAAAATGCCATTCTATTAAAGAAAAAATGACAGAAAATGAGAAAATGCTAAAAAATTCTGAACAACATTTGCCATAGAGCAAACAACATTATTGTCGGAAATTATCAGGTCTACCTGTTCAAGTCTGTGTAACAGGTAGGTCTTGAACTGGCGAACACCACGTCCACTCGATGTTTTATCCATCCTATGAGCCTTCTCGAAAGCATGGAAGCGGCCTAACCAAAAAAAGCAGATAATGTAGCAAAAAAGATGAAAAAGAAAAAAATACTTGGCTACTGCTGCACAAACCCCTTTTTGTATTCTTTATTTTCTCATAAGAAACAACACTTTTTATTGCTGAAAAGGAGAAGTACAATGGACGTGGACAAGAAGTCTACCCATGAGTACAATAAGAACGGTAACTGAACAAAAAATTCAATAAAAATTAAAAATCGTCAAAATCAGCCACTTTAACCACACACCACACTCCAGGAAACATATAAAACACTAGGCAGATAAATAAAGTATGAATTATGCTGAAGCAATCATATTTTGAACATACTTGAGAAGGGGGAGGGAGTCTAAATCAATGGACATTATTGATGGAAGTTGCACATGACACAATGAATTCAACTCAGGTCCGACGCTTTAGTAAGGAAAAGGGTATGGCTTTTTTCATAGTAACAGTGAGCGAGTCTCGTGAGATCTATGATGGCTGTTAGAATCGAATGAAAAAGGGACCATTCGAGTCATGAAGGGGCATAGATCTAGGCCTATTTGGTTGGTCAATCACCAAAGGCTGGGGTGTCTCGTCCATTGTGGCTCCCCCGGGCCTCAATTCTTTTGCATTGTCCGGGGCCTGCCACAACGGAGAAGCAGGGCATTGCAGCGCCCTCGCCTAGTGTCATTCCCGAACTAGCATCTGACGGGCAAGAAGTGCTTGAATTCAAACCGACTCAGATTCTTCTTTGTTTGAGCTGCTCTTGAACACTCAAATCAGAAGATCTCACGTGTCCTAAACTGGCCAAGTATGTAGAGATCTTTGTGGGACTATGGAGAGAGTATCGATCAATTTTTTGTAGGATTCCTTATCACAACACACAATGAAATCTTTCCATTGATGGGTATGAAACTCTTAAAGGATAACTTACTAGTTTACTACCTGTCTCTATGGAACCTACCAGAGATCATATAGAAAGAAACTCGGAGCGAAAAGAACGAAAGTCTCACCCACAGCTACAATTACTGGAGCTTCAAAAGGCTTAGATGCTAATGGCGCTGCTAAAATCCTTTTTAAAGTTGTGTAATAGGGAGGTGTAAGTGTATCATTTTCCAAGATCACAACTCGTATTGAAGCTGAAAAGTTTCACTCCTTATTGCAAAAGAGATTGACAAACACCTAATGGGAAGTCCATAAGCAATCAATTAACTCAAAACTTCAGTAGTCATGGAGGGCATAGTTCTAAACGTAAATGACAAGATTATTGTGAGGGATCTACCTCCCCATTACCGGGGATATACCTCCCTCCAAGAGCAATCCTCCCCATTACCGGGGATATCCCGCTCTCCATCAAAGGATTTCGGCTAACCTGCGGATCAAACGTCCACAGTAGCCTTTACCTCTGTCCCACATCGGGAAAGAGTCGTCTCCCCACCCCCATATAAGCCGAAGCACCATAGTGCTACTTGGGTACTGCTCTCATATGGTGCTTCGGCTTATATAGGGGTGGGGAGACGACTCTTTCTCCGATGTGGGACAGAGGTAAAGGCTACTGTGGACGTTTGATCCGCAAGTTAGCCGAAATCCTTTGATGGAGAGCGGGATATCCCCGGTAATGGGGAGGATTGCTCTTGGAGGGAGGTATATCCCCGGTAATGGGGAGGTAGATCCCTCACATAAAAGGCGCCTTTTATGTGAGGGATCTACCTCCCCATTACCGGGGATATACCTCCCTCCAAGAGCAATCCTCCCCATTACCAGTGCTACTTGGGTACTGCTCTCATATGGTGCTTCGGCTTATATGGGGGTGGGGAGACGACTCTTTCCCCGATGTGGGACAAAGGTAAAGGCTACTGTGGACGTTTGATCCGCAGGTTAGCCAAAATCCTTTGATGGAGAGCGGGATATCCCCGGTAATGGGGAGGTAGATCCCTCACATAAAAGGCGTCTTTTATGTGAGGGATCTACCTCCCCATTACCGGGGATATACCTCCCTCCAAGAGCAATCCTCCCCATTACCAGTGCTACTTGGATACTGCTCTCATATGGTGCTTCGGCTTATATGGGGGTGGAGAGACGACTATTTCCCCGATGTGGGATAGAGGTAAAGGCTACTGTGGACGTTTGATCCGCAGGTTAGCCGAAATCCTTTGATGGAGAGCGGGATATCCCCGGTAATGGGGAGGTAGATCCCTCACAATTATAGATGGTAGATGAGGTTCTTGAAGATTATCTAGCTTTCTGAAGAGAGGTTATCATACTTCAGTTTTTTTTTCCCCTCTTGTATATAAAGCTTTTACCATTCTAGCAGAAGAGACAACACAAAAAGCTAATGATTGATAGTCTTCCACTAATATTAATAATGTTAACGTGTAGATCAAAAGATGGTGGCGGAGGTAACTTAAATTGTCTAATCTTTCACAAAGAGATATAGACATTTCCAAATCCATAAGTTGTTCCTTTGAGTGGAAGCCTAGAATGTATAATTTCAATGATGACTCCTCAAAGAATTGGCTATTTCTAAAAAAGTAGCTTTTAAGTTCACGTGAGGTCTATTTACCTTTTTTCTTAGAAGGAACAAATTCAAAGGAAGTAAACTATTAAGCTTATCAATCTTTTTGGTTATTGTTAAGTTTAGAGAATCGAGAGACTTAACACAACATGAGAGAGGCAGAGAGTAATTACTTATCGAACCTCTCACCCTCAATTTGTAGTTATAGTTACCTAATAAAACCAATTTCCCGAATAAAGTGTAGTAATTATGTCAACTCATTAGTTGTATGTGTCATTGCTCTATACTATGCCTCAGCACTAAATCGTGCTATCATTGTTTGTTTCTTACTTTTTCATGTAACAATGTCTCCCAAGAACGTACAATAACCAATCATTGATCTTCGATCCAAGGGAGAACCAACCCAATCAGCATCTATAAAACTTTTTACTCTAAGATTTCCATTAGCCCGATACAACAACCCAAATCCAAGAGCACGTTTGAGGTATTGAGGAATGCGAATGACTGCATCCCAATGTGGTACTCTAGTGTATCCTATAAACTGACTAACGACACTAATTGCATAGGCATTAGAATGTAATCGTCTAGAGGTTATTTGTTCCAACTTCCAAGTTAGATTATACGATATGTATTCTCCAGCATAAAAGGAGTGTTAGAGAGTTGTATTAAATACACCACTTATACGGGTATACTCATCGCAACCAATATGTCAAGGCCATAAAATTATCATTTGGTTGTATTTCTTCAATACCTTATGCAGACTGCAAGAATAAAGATTAATAATTTTGAGGAATTGAAGTATCTACATGGCATTGTTACTCCAAGAATTCTTATACAGAGTCTTTAGTGCTGATTCATCGGATTGAAGGACAACTCTAAATTGCATATAAAACTAGGGGTCCAATTGTATACCTATAATGCCCCTCTCTCCAGGGGGCTTCCCTTTCTCTATACTCCCACTAAAAATGCTTGACATATGTCCAATTCCCTTTTTAGCAAGAATAAAAATTCCTTGTCGGTACATATTATCATTTTCAGCACAGCATTCAACAAAGGCATTATTCCAGGTAAAGCCATGATCAATCAGTAAAATCATACTATTACAAGCAACACAAACTTGGTTCATAAAAATGGGATCCTATTCCTAAAAATGATTTATTCAATGGACTCCTAGTTATTTGATACAAACTTCCTTTATTTGTAAGTACACTCTATAAACCATTAGTTAAGCAAAGGGAGAGACTTATCAACTGGGTCATTATGCTTGGACAAAGTTGCTAAATATTTGACCATATATCATTAGGACCTAGTTCTCTGCCTTGCAAGTGCCACACTAAGTTAACAACAGATATAAAAAAAAAAGGATTAAATGAGGTTACATGGCGTTAGGCTGACAATTTAGAATTTCCAAAAACTCGAATCGAAAAGTAGATACACATATAAATATATATAAACATATATATTAGGCAGGAAAAGGGCCCGTTGATTCATGAAAATTTGAAACACCCACAAAATATTTCACTGGCATTTGGTGTGTGAGTGTGTATGTGTGTGTGTGTGTGTGTGAGAGAGAGAGAGAGAGAGAGTGTGTTGGTGTGTATATAACTAAGAGGATTTTGAGTGCCATTTTTTAATTCTTACACAGATAAGCAACCCTGGGGTTTTCCTCTTCGATCTCATTGGCCACACGAAGGATCGGAGCAATGGAAGCCAGTGACGACGGCACCAGCTCACTGTCCACCGCATTGTCTTCGGCTGTAGAATCCATCATACTGGGCATCCTGGTCATCCTCCTCGACATCGATCTCAGTGGGCCAACCTCGTTCTTGATCCCACTCGAACTCGCCATCTCCGCTCACTCGAAAAACACCAATCCCTCACTTCCTCTCTCTTTCTCCCTATAATTTTCTTGTCTCTGTAAGCCCTTAGTTTCTTGAGACCACCAAAAGCGTATACAATCATATTTTAACAGAGAGAGATTCTTTGAGTGGTGAAGTGGGTCTTCGGTTTCTCAAAGAGCAAGTAAAGAATGAGAGAATTTGAACTTTTCAGGAGTTCTGGGGAAATCTTTGTTGGGGTTGTAGTGCTTTTGCTTTTACTTCTTTCTCTCTCCGTCTCTTTCTCTCTCCGTCTCTCTCTCTCTCGCACTACAGAAAGAGACGAGTTTCAGCGTTGATATTGTAAAGAAAAGGAAGATCACACGACTATCGAACACCGAGGGAAATGCTTTAGCATATCTTTTTGGTTTTATGATGTGAAAACGCACTTCGCTGTGGTTTGCTTTGCTTTGCTTTGCGTTTACAAGGACAAAGGGAAAGACCGTCAAGTTGCACCGTTGTTTGTTGCAATGCGATGACTTCGCGCGCATGGTTGCGGAATCTTATTAGGATCCCACTCTTGTGAAATACTAAGAATGATACAAAAGAGAAAGGTAGAATAAAAAAATAAATAAGAACAGCTACTTCTAGAATTCAAAGTTCTTATAAGAGAACACACAAATAATATGAATGATTCGATTGGTAGAAAAGATGAAAAGTAGGAAGGATAAAAAGTATGAGGGATACAATTTTTATCCTTCAAAGATGAAAAGTATAAATGATACATTTTTCTTCATTTGTGTTTAGTTAGGTGGATGGAAAATAAAAATAACTATATTTTTTTTTTGTGCTAGTTAAAATTAGATGCGATAATCTAGTGGTGTCGTGTTAAATTCGTGTTGAGTAATTATGGATTTTTGTCGAATATTAGTCAAACATAATTTAACTCGTTTAATTAATTGTGTCGTGTCGAGTTACGAGTTGACTTGTTTATTTTCGTATCGAATTCAAATCGTGTTATCATATTAAGTCGAAAATTCACCCTCAGTTAAGATGAAAAAAAATATATATTTAATTTAATTTTAAAAAAAAATTAAATATATATATATATATATATATATATATATATATATTTTACCATTGTATTTTTATATGAAATTAATGTATACATAATAGATGTATATATAATTAACTTTTCATCCACTTTCTTTCCGATTTTTGAGGGATTGATTTTTGTGAGTTGAAATAAAAGTTAATCTCATCCACTTTTTCATCCTTCCTACTTTCCTTCCTTACCAAACACTATATTTTATTTTTCCCTTCAATTTTCCATCATTTCAACTTTTCATCCTCTCATTTTTCCATCGTACCAAACGGAACATAAATCATAAAAACAAGTCCTACTAGTTCCTACGTTATCAAGTCGGGCTCAAAGCAGTTGTTTGTTTAGGACGCCAAATTTTAGATGGTCCCTAAACTATTTATCCCTTTAATATAGTAGGCCTATTTTTTTATTATTATTTATATTTTAGATATAATTCAAATTTTTAGTGCCTAAATTTTAAAAGTTCAAATTAATATTAAATTTTGTTGGGTCCAAAATTATTCTCTATTTGGTTAAACCCAAATTTTAAGGCATCTCCATGAAATTTACCCCTTTACTATAAGGGAAAACAGGGATTGATACATAATATGAGATTTATTAGGATAAAAGTATACCTTTTAAAAATATTTATAAATAATTTCACCCACTGTAGTTAGAGTCCAAATTAACCATTTCAAAGTTGAAGAGTTTCGTTCTCTGACTAAGGAAACCAACATAAAGGTAGCTAAGAGATAGTAAATGTTTTGCCTTCTCCACCATTGGGACTAAAGTTTGCATAATTTGAGAATACAATTTTGAAATTCAAACGATGTTCACATTATTTACCCTAAACTCTATTCTCTCATCACTATCATATTACAAATAAATGTGTCAAATAAATCTATTATTCTTTCGCTAATACTATTGGGACATAATTTGAGGATATAGTGAGTTGTCACAAATAAAATGATAATGAAATACATTTAATGATGAGTCTCATTGTAGCATTAGTGAATTCATTATTATATTATTTGTGGCAACTCATTATGTTATTAAATTATGTCCCAATAGCATTGCTCTTATACTTTAGACTTTCACTGTGAATAGAACACATCGTCGAACTCACTAAGAAGAAAACACGAAGATTTCACTGTGAAGAAAGCGAGGGTTTCATCTTGTTGTGAAGACATTGAAATTTTTTGCTCTGAACAACACGCACATCAATTGCTTCTTTTTTTAACATATATTTTTCATCACGTCCATAACTAACCAACTGCTAATAATGGCATAAAAAGTTATGTAGAAGCAATGTGACTTTATCATTGTTGCTAGTGTTAATGTCACATTGCAATAGTGATAAATGTCTAATTATATTATAGAATGATATGTGAAGTCAACAAAAAAAAGGAAACTAAATCCCAAATGATATAATGGGATAATTACAAGAAGATGTAGTTCAAAATTCAAACGTATTGTCAAAAAAAAAATTAGAATTTGCATTCCACAATTCAATGCCTATAAAATCATCAATGATTAATGAAAATGGGTAATTATATAAATAAAATATTTAGAAAAATAGACAACGTGTATCTACTCATAACACATTCTCAAAAAAAATTACTTATACACAAAAGAGAATCTGTATGGTACTTCTCACAAATAAATAGTATATAGCGTACTTATCCACAATTTTCCCTTAGTATAGTAGGCCTTTTATTTTTTGTATTTTATATATAATTCAAAAATTTAAGGCCAAATTTTAATAGTTCAAATCAATATCTAAATTTTTTAGGGTCAATATTAGTCCTTCACGTGAGCTTTAATTTTAGTTTTTCTAATTCTTTTTCATGCGTTTATAGTTTTATTCAACTCATTCACGTAGAAAATTTATTCATGTTATTTTTGTGGTGAAAATCTATAAAATTGATTTATTTTTTGTCTTAATATAAATTTTATGCTTAAATTGTTTATGTTATCAAAATTTTGTACTTCATGAGTGCACATAACTCATTAGTAAAGATTGATTCTTTTTTATCTTAAATATTTTGTTTGCTCACATATTTTATCATTAAATTACTTGTTCAAAAGTTAAATTGGAAAATTTTTATTTTACATTAACTAAGATTGAATGAATTAACTATATTATTTATTGAAAAATATTTATTGTCAAAACTTGAATGTAAAAATTTAATCAATAAATATTTTGCATCTCACAAAATAAAAAGTATATATTTTTAAAATAAATAAAAAATAATATTAATTGACAAAATAATAATAGGGCCTCATATAAAATTTTTGCCTAAGGCACCGCTTTACCTTGGCCCGCCCTGTACATTACCAATAGATCTTTGGTATTCTTTGCATTGTGAAAATTTTATCTTCGTGAGATAAAGGGTTCAAGTCCCTCTTCCATTTCTCCTCTTAAAAATAAAAATAAAATCTAGCTCCTCCATTAGATTTGAATTTACATCATCTAGATGCCTATATAAAAACTAGAGCAACGTATTGCACATGATAAAAATAAATTATTCCCAACAAGTTACTGGAGATAAATTATTAAAATACTAACATATAGAAATCATATTACTCATGACCAAGTAAGAACATACTTTTTTATAAAACTAGCAGGGGACCTTTGTTGTACAAGAACAATAACAAACATAAATAATAGTGTCGTTTCGAGAGGAAGAGAAACGTTGTGAATCTTTCCTCACAATTATACTCGTGAAGCGTACAACACTATCTAGATACGGGATGAATTTGTTTTTCAATGTTAATTTAAACAAATATCAATTAAAAACCCATTACTACCTCAATTACCACTTCTTACTTTAATATAGTAATTAATAGTGAGAACCTTTTTTTAACCATCATGACTCACTAAACTCATGTAGAATAATGTTGTTAATTTTAACAAAAACACATAGTGCACATTCGTGCAAACAATCACAAAGTATATACATAAAATTAATAAAAAACACAAGTGGTTTGTTAACTCGAAAATCCTACTTGAAAAAATTGCTGGAACCTTTACCGATTCACAAAAAACCTAATCCACTATCTCAAAGTCAACATATAAGGGCTTGAATCTTATAACTCAACAAATATCACGGTTAGATGTTCCCTTCATTCAGTATGTATTTTTGTCGAAGTGTTTCTTCAACGTTATGTATAGCTTCACTTTCACAAATGATCTTCTAGGTCTTGGGTTTTTTTGGGCACACCAACTATCATTGAAATGCACACACTAATGAATGTGGTTCAAACATTTCAAGATCTTCAATACCAAGTTGTGAAGTTGGATAGAATCTCTAGAAAGTAGCTTTGGGTCTTAGTGATCTAGTAGTATAAGTTGTCTTGAGAGCCATGGAACAATGAAAATGACTAAGGATGGATTGTCTGTGTTCCCTTGGCCTGAAAGACTCAAAAACTTGGCCAAGATGTTGGTGTCCATTGAGGCGTGGGGTCATTCGGATCCCTGGTATTAAAGCACCTAGATAGAGAGGGCTAGCATGCCCAAGGTGCAAGTCTTTAAAAAAATTTCGAATGTGCCACTCAACATACAGAAAAATAGAAATGAGATATCAAATAATGAATAGAGCTTTGACATCACAATATTAATTCAAATCATGTTTTAAGTTGTTTTGCATAGAATTTGAATCAGAACTCCATTATTACTTTTCCTATTGAGTGATGGTCCAATCCTAAATTAAACATCGAGGCGTAACAATGTTATTTTCCATATCTAAAAGGGTTTATGTGGTTTAGGTACAAATCTAAGGGGATCTGAATGTAATTTACCCAAGTGCAAATTAACCCTCCGGTAGTTTACTGTTGACCCATCCATCAGACTAGTTAATCCACTGGGGAAGAAAGCTTCGCGTTAACGACGACGAAGACGAACAAATGAGTACCACGCAGCAGCAGACTCAGCATCACCATAATTCA